GCTAGTGAGTTTCATCAACCAGCGGTTTACCATCAATTTTATAATATCAAATTATTTATAATAAAATGAAAATATTTGTTATAGTTAAAGCTATTTTAAACATTATTACTGTATATCATCTTCATGTTTGTTTGTGTTTGCATCAAATAGGTGGAGTTCCGCCTGAACTCTAGATCAAGATGTGGCGCCAAAGTTCAATTAATTATGGTTGAAATATCAGTTTAAAATCCTCCATGAGATTATAGAATTATGAGCCTTCTTCATAAATTATGTACTTTAGCTGTTCCATCACGAACTTGCAATCCATGCCATAGAACAATATTGAATATAATGATATGATCATTATTATTATTTGTAAAAACGTTCATTTCTTATTTCCCTTCCAAATGGTACTGTTGTGAATTTGGATTCATGTGCGTGAAATTCAAATTAGCCAATCAGAATTTTGTAACCAAATACAGATTTAATTAATAAATTAAATAAATTACAGATTTAATTCATAAATTACAAATTTGTTATAAGTGACATATATGAATTTTTAAAAAATATCTGGCAAACTGAATTTATATGAAAAATCCGTTAAATCCATTAAACTGAGATAAAATTGTTATAGAAAAATTTGGTTTTGAAAATTTATCTGCTAAACCCCAAATCTGTTATACTGAGGTCCACTATGCCGAGACTCACTGTGTATGACATTTAATTTTCTATCCTGAAGCTTTTTACATGGCCAGTATAGATCAGATGCAGCAGAATTCTCTCTAGAAAAATGCACAATCCAAACTTCCCGGGGGAAAAGCTGGTTGGCATAATTTAATACTTGATCAAAATGTTTTTTAAATTTAGGGATGGATCCTGTTGCTACAAGTTCAAGGATGGCTTCAGGATAGGAATTATCCGGTTTCTTTATGATCAGGTCACAATAAAAATGGTGGTAGTTGCCATCATCACATACTTGTTCGAGATGCCACTGGAAGTTATCTCAAAGCCATGCACCATTGCAAGCCAATTCTATACACCTCAGCATTGTAAGTGCTCTCCCGATGAACTTTTACACTCCATCAGAAAATATTTTAATTGATTTAATGTTTTCATCTAGTTGTGTTAATTGTTGTAGAACAACATCAAATGCTGATGCAGTAAACCAAGCATCTTGTTTGTTCAGAATTTACTAGCAAATTGTTCGAGCTTTTGTATGACGAGAAGATCCAAGGGTAATTATTTTTAGGTCAATGTACATGCAGTAAACTCTAAAATATCTACTGATCCATCAGCTTGTAAAGGTATTCCCACATTCGGACAGAAGCAACTTATTTCTGGATCTACACATTGCTTCTTTGAATAGGTATCTATTGTTAATAATGATGACGATGACGATGACGATAGTGATGAAACTACTGGAGATGATGGTTGTGATGCTAGTGGTGGAGATAGTGCTGGCGGTAATGATGCCTTCCTTTTTCTATTAGTTTTTTGCCATAAGTTATTTATTTTCTCAACATCAGCTTATAGAAAGCAAAACTAGGTGAGATAGTTCCTTGAAACTCTGTGTAAAAAAGGCATTAATTGAAACCATTAAAAATTTTTGATTCAATTTCGTTAATAAATAACAGTCTTGCTCATTTAAATATAATTTACTTACTTGTGATGGTGGTGGTAATTGTGAATGACTAAAGAATTAGAATGATGAGTTGTAATGCATCACAACCACCACTACCATTCTTTTAAAAATAACTAGAATGATGGCGAGTAGCAATAACCACCATTCTTATGATAAACACTTACTCAGGTCTTGTTGCTTCTGCAACATTGTTTATTTTTCTTTTTTTATAAAAAAAAATTTTTTTTGATTGAAAAATCTTATGATACACAAACACATGTATGGTTGGATGATTGTTTTTTTTTCTTGGAAAAATGATTTATAATAATAATGACAAAACACGAGTGATGTTGTTTGGTTCTAAAAAAAGGGGTGACTATAAACATCAGGAAATTAATTTAGCGTAAACTTGCATAAATCTTACGATGCCGACGTAATATTGTGTAAATCTTACAGTGCCGACGTAAGTTTTACACTTTTTTATTATTAAACTTACAATTGACATGTGTAAAATTTTTTTATATTTTCCGGATGAAGGTTTTCGTCTAACCTTGAAATAGTTTTTTCTCCCATCCTCAGCGTGTGACGTAGCTGAACAAAAGGGGGCCGTAATACTCTAGATCTTCTGGTTTGCTATCATAATTATCAAAGATAATTGTTTGAATGAGGGAAATCCCCCACCTGGAGGGTTTTCCACCTTGAGCTTTTTTTAAATAAGATCATCAATTATTATTACATACGTATTCTATATTGTTCTCTACACATATCGACCTACAAAAATAAGCCAATGTGCTTTTCCCAAAAGTCGATCACGTTATAAAAACATTAAAAAACCCTTTGCCGAACTGGTTGGCCTTGATTTATATAGAGCGCATCCGATTATCACATTTTCGGTGGAAGAGACAGTTTTAATAAAGCATATGGATAAAAATCGAAAACGTGATGATTTGGCTGATTTTTTTTTTTTTTTTTTATACTCTACAGCCTTTATTTTATATTTATATTTATTTAAAATGTCAAGAAATCTATTATTTTATTAAACTGTTAAATAATAAATAGTTGATATTAATTCAATTAGCTAGCCAGTATGAACAATCAAATTAAACAAAATTATCATTATCATAATAATAAAAATAATAGGTCAATAATTAGGATAAACCAACTGAATCAGGTTTCCTTTTTGGTTCGCATCTTTCTTTATAAATAAAACTTCTATTCATTTAAAAAATTTTTTGGCGGCGCTTAACGATTGTTTAATACATTTTTGTAATACCTAAAATTTCCTTTTTTTCGAAAAACCCCAAAAAAATTTTCCTTTTTTAAATGAAAAAACGTCGCACGAAATTATATTTTGTTTTACTCTTACCGTTAAATTAAATTATATTCATCTCATTGATTATCTACATTATCCTTACCATCATTAGTTATTAGTAGTTATGGCAGACATGGAGATTACAACTTTTATTCCAAATATTAAGAGTATATTCAAAGATGCTAACCTTCGCGAACTAACTGCAAAAGATGTAAGGTTGAAATTACAAGAAATTCATAAAATAGACCTTAAACCTCGGAGAAAAGAAATACGTCAACTTGTTGAAAAATGTTTTAACGATTTAGACATTGGTGATGAAGAAACATTAAATAATGAAGATTTAACATTAGAACAGCCACAAGAAGTTGGAACACCAACCAAGAAAAATCTCACAAAAAAACAATCAAAGTCAACTACACAACCAAAACCAACCAAAAAGGGTTCAAAACCAAAAGGCAGACCTCCAAAATCATTAAATAAAGATAGTAATAAGGACACCAAATCTTCTTCAACTACAACCAAAGCATCATCTTCATCAATTAGTACCTCGCAATTACCACAACCACCACAAACTTCACAAGTAAATGCGTCTGATTACTCGTCATTAGAAGACGAATCCGTTCCAATTAGTCCCGTAAAAAAGAAACGTGGCAGAAAGAAAAAAGTTAAAGATGAAGTTTTCTCTGATATCGAAAGAAAATTCAAAGAAGAATTTTTAATAAAAAAGCAAAAAACTAAAAATAACACATCTTCTAAAATTACTTCCACTGCCACTGCACCACCATCATCATCTAATTCAAATCCTAATAATAATAATAATAACAATAATAACAATAATAATAATACTACTACTACCACCACCACTACCACCACTACCGCCACCGCCACCACCACCACCGCCACCACCACTACTACTAATAAAAAGAAATCAATTAAAGGCAAAAAGAAAGATGAAGAAGAGATAGAGGAGGATGTTGAAATAAAAAAGAAGAAAAAGAAAGGTAATACTGGAATTTATAAACCGCTATTCCTGAGTCCTGTTCTAGCTAAAGTATTGCGTGCTGATGAGGTAAGCTTTAATGATTTTATATATCTTTATTTTTTCCAAAATTATTAATTAATTAAATTTGTTTTATAGATGTCAAGACCTGATGTTGTAAGAAATTTATGGGATTATATTAAAAACAATGATCTACAAGATCCGGATGACAAAAGGTTTATAATCTGTGACGATAATTTATGGAAAATTTTTAAAAAGGACAGAATACACAGTTTTACAATGAATCGTGATCTCAGTGAACATTTAAGGAAAAAAGATGATCCTAAAGGTGGACTATTCACATCAAATATTGGTAATGGTAATAGTAATCTAGCTGATGAATCAGTTACAGCTGAAGATTTGTTTGGTGATGGTGGCGGTGGTGAGAAAGAAGATGAATTTGAGGAAGAAGATGAATTTGATGATAATGGAGGTGATGGTGGTGGCGAAGAAGAACTTAAAGATGATGTATATGAAGGATTTATTGATAGTTATAGTGGAAGTAATAGTAATCATGATGATTATGTAGAAGAAGAAGAGGACGACGATGATGATGATGATGAGGTGATGGAAGATGAAAATGAGGAAACGGAAGTAGTGGTAGGAAACAATTTACCAAAAAAATCGGTTAGTGATGATGATGAGGTGGAGGATGGTGAATATATGGATGAAGATGACGACGATGAAGATGACGAAGATGATGGTTACATAGTATATTAGCTTAATATTGTGCGAAAGAATTATAATTGCAAGTGGGTTTTAATTGATGAAAATATGGCCCCACATAAAGAAAGAAATGACATATATCATTAATGAATCTGTGCTTATTATATTATAATTATTATAATTATTATTATTATTATTATTGTTATATTATTAATTAGTGTATTAGCTATGTATGAGTTTAATTTAATAATTGATATTGCCAAGTGTACTTATGATACGTATTTTTGGTTTTTTTTTTTAATCATGTCAATTTGCTCAAATTTCATATGATCACATTTTAATCAAATAATTCTTTTATCCTCTTAATAATACTAAAACTAAACATGAGTGTATATGACGAACTTTCATTAATAAAAGTTTCTTTGAACGAAAAAGAGGTTTGATTATGCATGCATTACTATACATTATTAGGTATTTTTTTCTTCCGGATTTATTATATTAATACTGACATTCATTACCGTTAAATAATTTTTAAAAGTTAAATCTAGAAGAATTATATTCACCGGATTTTCAAGTCAAAATTCACGCAAGTATATTATAATGATAATAACAATGACAATACTTTCAATTTAATTTGACTCGTACAAATCATCAATGTATATATAAAACAAATCACCTACATATTTTAGGCATTACATCGCTTTTTAAGATTACTTCCATATTTGGATAATTCAACAAGATCAAAACTTTTGGAAAAACTTAGACGATTGATTGATTCCAATAACCATGGCCAAGAAGTGAAAGATGTTAAGATTCTTGTGATAATGATTTTGGATAATTTAGCATATGACTCTTCAACATGTTTCGAAATAATTCTTACCGATTTAATGAATCAGGTATTTCTTCTCTCAAAAAAAAAAAAAAAAAAATCAATAGATAATTTTATGATTCATTAATGTAACAATTTTTTTCGTTCATTAATAATAATAATAATAATAATTAAAGGTTCAATCAGATTCTACAGAATTGAAATGTCGTGTTTATGATTTAGTGCTTAATAACTTGAAGGTATTTATCGCTTTCTTTATCATTTTGTTTCTTTGATTGTTCTGAAAACATATTTGTAATAACACTTTGTTTATATTTATACCCCTTTTTTTTTAGAATGAAAATTTGAATATTTCATCATCTTTATTAAGTAAACTCAAGTCTTTTGGTGTACATGCAATCAATGATTTAACCGACTCACATTATAGTTTAAGATCTGTATGTATAAGTCTATTATCTTCATTGTTACCTTTAATAAATAGAACTGAAACGACAATGATGATGATTGATAATGATGATAATGTTATTGTTGACGAAATCAATGCCGAAGTTTCTGGTGGTAATAATATAATGTTGCCAAATCTAAACGAATCAGAAATTCAAAAAATCATTAAAAATTTTGGTAATGATCCAGATCCTAGAGTTAGAAGTGTACGTATTATTAACAATACCAGATGTATTTATTATTAAATTATTCGATTTATAATTTGATATTTAAAAAAATTTTTGGGGGAAATAAACCAATAATAATAATAGGCTGCACTTAAAGCATTACTTCAACTTAATGAATATGGATATAAACTTGATATATCATTGTATAATTTAAGCGTTTCATGCTTAGCTGATGATTATGAAGAAGTTAGAATAGAAGCATTAAACTTAATATGGTAGGAAATTAGTTATTATCATAATATATGTTCTTTAATAAATACTTATTTTTTAAAAAATTATTATTATTATTATTATTATTATTATTATTATTATTATTATTATTATTATTATTATTAGGTTGTTTAGTACAATATACCCCCAAAGTTCGATGGAAGATGGACCATCTCAATCGATAAGGTTAATAGATGATGCATTTATTAAAGTATGCGATATGGTATACGACGTTTCGGTGAAAGTTCGAAGTAAGGTAAAAATATTTAATTTTGAAAATATAAGATTATTGCTATTATCATTATTATTTGTGGAAGGTGATAATGGTGATAATATATTTACATCAATATATTCGTATTTATATTTGAAAGGCGTGTAAACTTATGGGACTTTATCTAGACGTAGATGTTAATGTTCTTTTACAAACTTTAAGTCAACAAGTCATTACTCATTCTGGAAAATCTAAAAAAGTTGGACACAATAAACCAAAGAAAGTAATGTCCTTAAGATATATTCTTTTTTTTCTGTTAAAACTATTATTTTTTTTTATTGATAATGTTATATATTTAATTTTAAATTGTAGGGAAGGTATATTCCTAACCCTGAAGGTGACATTGATGTGGAATCATTAGAATTACGACTTCTTAAATCAAGTGCATCGGGTGCATTTATTCATGGTCTAGAAGACGCATATCAAGATGTTCGAAAAGCTGCAATTGGTTTGTGAAAAAAGAATTTTTTCGCTGTTGATAATTGCAACGATGATGGCGATGGGAAAGATTAAGATGAATAAATCATTATATTTGTTAATCATGTATCTATCTACCTATAAATGCTTGCATATATATATAAACCTTTTGTAGATTCTATACGTGAATTGTCTATGAATAACCAAGTATTTGCTAAAAGAGCTGTTGAGTTCCTTGTAGGTAATTTGAATCTTTCTCATATTGCTTTCTATTAAATTCACAATTACTTGAAATATCAACAGCAGCAACAAAATAACAAAATCAATAATTTTTTTCAGACATGTTTCAAGATGAGATTGATTCAGTGCGATTGAAATCAATCAACAGCCTAAAACAAATAGGAGAAAATAATCCAATTGAATTAGATTCAGAATTATTACAAATTGTACTTAGTGTACTCAACGATTCAGACCCTGTTGTTAGAGTGTCAACTCACAGAATGCTAGGGTTAATCAACAAATTTATTATTATAACTATATATAATTTATATTTAAGTATTCACTTATTGACTATGTATATATTATTTGTTTTTATAGTGTTATAAGATTGAAAGTATCAGATTTGACGTTGATATTTACTCAAACATTGATTAAGAACATGTCAATATATCCCGAAGATCAATTATCAATTTATGAATGTTTTAGAGATTTTGGCACTAAACATAGCGATTATATTGGTAAAAAAAAAATATACATATATACATATACACATATTTATTTACTTGGTTATATTTATATTGATATAGTCATCTATTTATTAATACTTACTAATAAATGCACTTTTTAATATATATATTATTTAGAACAATTTATACCTAAATTTTTTGGAATGCAAGAAAGTTATTACATTTCAAAAGAGATTAATCAAAATTCACCAGAACGTATCCTTCTCTACTTTCTCTAAATCTTTTACTGCTACATCGCTGATTAATAGAGACATATAAAAATTATCTTTAAATCTTTTTTGTTTTTTGATGTTTTTCATTATAGATATTGGAAATTTAATTTTAGCATTTAATGCATCTGTCATAAATGACAAGATAATATCTTTGTTACCAAAATACGCACCCCGGCACTATGAATATCTTAGAGATAAATTTCCAAATTGTTTTCCAGACTTGAAGGCACAAATTAAATTTATATTCCATATATTGATGAACAAATTTAGATTGACGAATATTTAAATCATTAATTATTTTTTTTCTTTAAAAAAATAATTTTTTTATAGATGCCGGGAAATGAAAATAAACAAAATATTCAGATAGATACTGATGGTAAGTGAATTTATTACGATTTATTATTTTTTAGTGTTGATTTATTAATGGGATCATTATATTTGTTTGTATATGGAATAATTAGATAAAACACATTTGCTTATGCAACACACCATTGATAATATTTTAATGTTAAAAAGACTTTTTAAAATAAAAGATTTCAGATCTTCAATGAGGGTTATTAAAGTTTGTACAAGGTAAATTATCAATTGATCAATTGATAAATTGAAATTTCATATTCCAAAAAATAATTTATTTAGTATTATTATTATTTTAAATAAATAATAAATAAATAAATATATGTATATATAGTAATTTGGAATATTTGTCAAATATGGCGTTGTTCTCTGGACAAGCAAAGTTTTGTTTAATGTATTTAGAATATGTGAAAGTTTTAATACAGGTAATCAATTCCCTCTATATACATATATACATATATACAAATTTAATGTTCAAAAATAAATCCATTTATTTATAATGTTTTTTTGTAGATCAAACAAAATTATTTAGTGCCAAATTTTATGTTAAAAACATCGGACATAGGAGCGAATTTATTGAAAATATCTTATTCGATTGAACATGGATTTTTAGAATTACACAATAAAAAATTTATTTATAATATGAGGATAATTGCTTATATTGTTTGGTTGATTGGCAATCTAAAAAATGTTGATAGGTAAATTTTTTTGATTGATCACCTAATCCAAATAATCGATCAATTCATTTATTTACTATTATTATTTATTAAAAGTAATGGTAATTCGGCATTGAATAATCAGGATCCTTTGAATTTATTTATCAAACGAGGAACTGATATAGCAAGGTACAATTTAATAATTCAATCGAACAAATATTATTTTTCAAAAAAAAAAATTTTTTATATATTATTAATCTTTTGAGAAATCAAAAAAAAAAAAAATTATCAAACTAAATAATTTTTTCTTTTCTTTTCTTTATATTCTTGCCGTTGTAGACTATTTGAACAAAATAATCATGAATTAAACTATCTTCTTGACAATTTAAATAAACCTCCGATTGAAATGAATGCTATCATTTCTTTATTATTTGATTATATTAAGGTACGACATAATAATAACAAGTAATAATTGATTCTTTATACTCATAAACACGCATACTTATATAATTATTATTAGAATTTTCAATTACTTGATATAAATCCTCGAAATTCTTTAATAAAACCAGAAGCAATTATTACTCGACCAACTTCCAATAAAAAACCAGTAGAATTTGACCGTCAATTTCCATTAACTGTTCATATAGAGGCTGATCTTTTTGACTTAGATGATATAACTACTATTTCAATTCAGGTACTTATTTATACACTAAGTGTAATAAATAAAACATGAAATAGGATATAAAATAAAATACATATATTTATTGTTGTGTAGGTTACTCTTCCTGATCAAAGTATTTTAAATTTTCGAACATCACCCGTCGAATTCTTTCCTACGAAAACCTATCAATATCAATTAAAAACTCACATAGACATTTCACAGTCTGCTTGGACCGGTATATATATTTTTAATAAAAAATTTTTATTCATCAACATCACCATCATCATCCTTGTTTTTTTAATCTCTACTAATCATTTTTTTTTTTCAATATTATATATATATTATCTCAAGAATCATGTTATATTATAATTAAGATAGTTCGTAGTTTTGAACTAGATCCAAACAATATTGATATGAATATTTTACGACAAAATTTTTCATCGGCAAATAGTATACCCTGTGCAACAACAAGTACAATGACAACTCAAAATACTTTGGATATTTCTTCTAATCCTATTAAATATTTTATATGGCCAAAAGATACACTGCCAACCTCTATTTCTTAATTCCCTCACCACCTATGCCACTACTTCTAAACTATAATATTATTGATAATTTATTGTTATTGTTGCATTGATTACTGTCCTTTATAGATAGGGTTTCGTTTTTCTTTGAAAGCTCTTAATCCTAATCAAATCATAAAAATTCTATTATTACCAGTAATAATAAATTTGTTTCTTTGTTTAATCGATTTACCTTCAATTCTATCTTCTGTTGGAATTAATTGTTCATAACATGAATGTTCAAAATCCAATGCAGATTCCCTATATTATATTAATTAATGATTGATTAAATAATAGTAGTGTAGTATTAATGGTGGTACAAAGTGACGAATGGAATATATTTGATCAAAGATGGATTGAATATAATTTATTAAAAAAGTACGTAAAAAAAAATTTAATTTTTTTTTTTATATTGGAATACTAAAGCTGCTTTGATTGTTCTTTTTTCTTACCACTTGATTTAAACCGAACTAAAAAAAAAAGTCATAAAATTGATTTAATACGTAAAACACTTTTAGAAATATTTTTAGAAGGAAAATTAAATGAGAAAACTAAAGCTTTAATTATGTAAGTAAAAATAAAATCATTTATAATTTAATGTAATTGAATAAAAGCTCATTGAATTTTAAATTGGCATAGAAATGGTAAAGAGGTTTCGGTAACATATTTTCGCGCAGGTTATAGACCAGGAGATTATCCTAGTGAAAATGTATGTATTACAAAATATATTATTTTTCTAATTACAAAAACTTATTGTGTGTGTATGCATATATATATATATATGTGTGCAGGAATGGAATGCAAGATTAATGATCGAACGATCAAAATCTATAAAATGTCCATCAATCAGTTATCAATTAGTTGGATTTAAAGTATTTCAACAAGTTCTAGCCAGGCCAAATATTGTAGAAAAATATATAAAAAATCCGATTGACGCTAAAAAAATTAGATCATGTTTTGCCAATCTTTATCAATTTCACTCCAACAATGATATATTTAAATCAGTAATTGATAATCCAAACGATTATGTGATGAAACCACAACGTGAAGGAGGTGGTAATAATTTATATGGCGAGGAAATGGTCAACACTATTAAAAAATTGAAATCTTCGTCAGTGTCGTCATCGCAAGAACTTAAAAAATATATTATAATGGATTTGATTAAACCGCCAGCAATTTCAAATATTTTATTAAGGAAAGGTGAATTGATTAAATGTAAAATAATCTCCGAGTTGGGCACATTTGGTGTTTTTATTTCTAAAAAAATTAAAGATGATGATGATGATGGCGAAGAAATAATTGTGAATGAGTGCATTGGTAATGTGTTAAGAAGTAAAAGTAGTGAGATTAAAGAAGGTGGTGTTGCAATTGGATTGGCTGTTATTGATTCTCCTTTATTAATCTAATAATCTAAATTACAAAAAAAATAATTAATAACGACAAAATAATTTGGCTTTTCAAATATTTTCTTTATACAAAATTACGTATAACTATTATAATTATAATTTTTTATTGTTTTATATAAAAAATGCTATTAAAAATGTATTGCATGTATGTATGTGATACGAAATGTTTGATTTATGTATGCAGTTTATAAAAAAAAAATAAATTGATTAATGAATATTTTATAATAAATAAGATAATAAATTTTTAATTTTGTAAAAAAAAAAATGAATAATTAATTAAATATGAATATATGAATATATAAAAATATGAATATATGAATAAATAATATATTAATAATAACTATGTACAGCTTTTTTTGTTGAAGTTCTTGCAGATTGGTTTTTTTTATCCAAGAGTAAATTCATTGATCCAGTTTTCATATTAGGAGCAGGTACTGCATGAATTATCCCGTTCCTTTTACTTGAATCTCTAGAATTTGGGTTTAAATTTCTTCTTTTAGTTGGCTGCGGTGGTGATTCTTCAATTGTATCATCGGACGATGATTTATTATTATTATTATCATCTTCAACATCATCACCATCTCCCAAGTTATTATAGCTAACATCAACCAAACTATTGCTAACATCAACCAAAATACTACTATAATCACTACTATTATTGCTATCGATGGAATTTTTCTTTTTCTCTAATAGTTCACTTTCCCTTTCTCGAATTTCAGCTTCTTCCATCAACCAACATTTTGATGACATCTTACACAATCTACAATCATCTTTAACATGAAGTTGTATAGCAATCGATCTAAATATCGTATCAACCACTTCAGCACGTAAAAACAAAGAATGTTTCCCGCCATTTATCAATGTCAACTTACAATCAGGCATACACTCTTCCATCCATTTTACAGCAGCAACCGGAATCCGATCATCTTTGGTACCATGGAACACGTGTACAGGATGATTCACATCCGTGTACGAGAACCCAAATGGTCTTTTTCTCTCAAAACACATTACCAAATCATTATTTGCACCTGTCAAATTCTCTGCAAATGAAGCTTTCAAAATCGCCAAGCCAAGTTGTTGTTTCTTGTCAAAACTTGACATTTGAGCCGATAATGCACCTGATGATGTTCTGTGATTCTGTTTTGTCGAGTAGGGTTGGCGACCGTGAATCATTTGTTGTAGCGATATACCAGCGGAATTTGTTAGCTTCATCAATGGTGTTGGCACAAACTTCAACCATTTGAAATTGTTCGCTACTGCAGTACTTATCCAGGGACAAACCAAATATATCGTGCCCTGTAACATTTCAGGTAATTTCATTGCACAAGCAAGAGCATAAGGTGCTCCAGCACTATGAGCCATTATAAAGAATTTTCGTATTTCCATCATATCGCACATTTCTTTTATCACATCTTTTAATTAAAAAAATAAATAATTATAAATATGATTCCACTAGATATATATATCACTATCTGTATATAATAATATTTACCTGGCCATTTTAAAACTCCTTGATCATCATCTTTGACATCATCAGATAAACCAATTCCAGGACGATCCGGACATATTAATCTTAGACCATAGCTTATAGCAAGATCATCGAAAAAAGCTATAAAATATCTTACACAACCCATTCCCAAGAAAACAAAAACTGGAAACCCATTTCTATCACCCACTTCAGAAAAACTGACCACTCTACCAGATTTTAATCTGACACGTTGTGTTAGGCGTGGGGCAGCTAGAAAAGATTTTATGTCTAGATTTGTTGGTTCATCCTCGATTATGGGTGGTGTTGGTGTTGATGACCGTGGCGGTGGTTGTTGATCTGATGATATTGAGGCGAAAGTTGAAAAGGTTGAGGTTATAGTAGATGTAGGAGATGAGGATGAGGAAGTAGAGGAAGTAGATGAAGTAGAGGAATACGAGGAATAAGAAGAAGGTGATGTCATTGTTGTTGTAGTACTGTGTAAATAATCTTTTGGAGATGGTTCTTCACATGAATTATTATTACTATTATTATTGATCATACTCGGATCCGATTCGGGTATTGATAAATTTATTGAAGATGTGTATATTGGTGGTATTTGAGGAGGTTTTTCATCGATTGTTGAAGATGTATGTTTTTTAGAAAATATGGACGACGGCGACGACGATGATGATGATGATGACGACGACGACGATGATGAAATTGAAGTTCTTGTTGATGATGATGGTGGCGATGATGGTGGCGATGATGATGATGACGCTAATGAATTTAAAGCAGTTGCTGAAGCGAATTTCTTTATTGATTTTCTTTTTTCTTCTTGGTGGTCGTTATTATTGTTGTTGTTGCTGTTATTATTATTAAACCTTGTTGTAATTAAAGAAGTTCTTCTCGTTTTATTTTTTGGTTTTTTTGACATAAAAGAAGAAGAATTGTTTGTTGCTGTTATCGATGATAAGGTGGAGGAGTTTGGAGAGTTTGAGGAGAAAAGTAAAGTAGTTGATGATTCTGATTTTGGTCTTTTTTGGAAAGGAAATTTTTTGATTGAAGTTTTCTTTCCTAAAGAAAACACATTAGTTTTTGGTGAGGTGGGAGGAGAAGAGATATTATCTCCGATTTTTTGTTTTTGTACAGATTTATCGATATTATTGTTGTTATTGTTATTATTTTTATTAATTGATAATATTGAAATATCATTAGTTGTATTGGAAGTTGTCGTCGTTGTTGTTGTTGTTGAATATTTCAAAGAGTTAATTTCCGGGTGTATATTCATTTTTATAAAATTATTTTTTGTGCTATTAATTATTTGTTGATTGGATGATTAGAAGCAAAGTTATATATTACAAATGAACTTTTGTGTTATATATGTATGTGCTGTTGTGTGTATATTAAAAGAATAATTAATTATGCAAACGAAATTTGTTTTTTCGAGAGAAATAATTATTAGTATTTAAAGATTATTTATTTTAGGAACCAACAAAAATGTGCGTAATTAATCATGAGAAAAAAAAAAATTTACCTTTATTTAAAGTTTTTTCTCGTGTATTTATATATAAATTTTTTAAGGTTTATAAGAAAAAAAAAATAAAAACTTTTACATAAAATATATTTATTTATATTTATATATTATGTATTATAGAATATTATATACAATTATTATATATATATATAATAATAACGTTAATATAAAAAATATAAAAAGGAAATATTAATCAAATAAACGCGATCGTTTTCTTTTTATGTTTTGATGTTTTTAAATGTAGAAAATAAAAAATATTTGTCTGCAAGTGAGTTAAATAATTAGAAAGCGAGAGAATGTGAAAGAGCAAAATTTTAATAAAAAGAATGTGGATTCTCTGGTATTTATATTATTATTATTATCATATATTAAAGTTGCAATATATTTTATGTAGTATATTTAAGCACGTATAAAAAGCCTGGATATTGTCTGAAACATATATATAATAACAATAATAACAATAGCAATAATAATGAAAGAAGACTTTTCTTAAAAAAAAAAGGAATTAACGAAAAAAAGAAAGAATAAGTTAAATAATTAAAGTGAGAAAAAAATAATTATGGGAAAAAATAATTTTAAAAATAAAAAAATAAAAATTTAATTAATATTTAGTGGATTTGTTTATGCATATCTTTCCTTGCTTTCTTCTTTAAAAGGTGATTGAGGATTAAGTTTGTGATGATTTACTAACTGTTGTGTAAATTAAATTTTTATTTATTAAAAAAATAAACAATTTTACAATTAATCTCATTGATCTGACTGGTTAAATAAATAATATTGTATTAGTTAATATTAGTAATCTTTTAAGTGAACAACAACAACACGCTACAAAAAGGTTTTAGGGTCCAAAGTGAATGATAAAAGCCACAAATTTCAGTTTTATAAAAATAATTGAACTAGTCCAAAAGTGTAGATTAGATATAAGTACCGATGGGGTTCAAATTTTTTCTTTATTGTCTAGTGTCTTTTTTGCATGCTGTTATCAAGATCTTTTAACTTTTTGTATATTATTGTAATTAGATGGAAGATTTTTTCAACGTGATTAATTGTTGAAATCTCAAGTTCAATCATTCAATTCCAATTCGCAGCAAGATACTCACTTCCCCCAAGAAAAGTAAGGTCTCAAAGTCTTTCGATTTCTTCACTACTAGTACTCTTTGTCCTAACGCCAACATTATAATCAATCCATTTCAAATAACTTATCAATAGCCTACGCTCATCATCCCCAATTACAAACGACTTTGTAAAACAACAGATATTGTTTTTCATATATTATTTATTTTTATATTGGTAATGAAGAATTGATGCAAGCTTACTTAAAGAAATATACTTGCAAAGATATTTTCCTGCTTGCTTGCTAGTTGATGCATAGAATCATCTCTATATAACATTTAAATATAAAATTAATCTAAATTATAGCACGATTAGCATTCACATCCCATCTCAAGTTAGTTGTCAAACATTTTGTTTTGGCAAGTGATAATGTCTTTAAATTCATCTCTGGTAAGTTAGCAGTCATTATTACACAGATATTCTTGGCGCTTAAGATCCATAGAAGAGTGAGTTGGTGTCATATAGGAAATGATAAGGTTTTAATCCGTCAATGATAATAGTGGAAATTTCTGTCATTTAGTTTCAATTATAAAAGAAATGCAGAGATTTTGAGTTTCTTGGAACATCAAAACGCTGAACATAATAGCGTCGAGTTTATTCAATCCAGCAGCATTAAATCTTTTACAACAATTACAACATGATTTACACACTCAACTGTTGTCTTTTGGTATAATTTATTGAGAAAAGAAAATCTTATCTGCCAACAAAGAAAATCCCCCGTACTTCAATTATGAAATAAGAGGACGCACACATTACACAATTGTGGCGCCGACCCCTGAAAATTATAAAACGAGGGTTTTTACTAATACTAAATAGACTAAACTATCAAACACTTTGGTCATAAATGCGTTTAACTACTGGTTTATAACCGGTCTTCAATTTCCCTACATAATGTACACACGTACAATAATCTGCAATTATATAAATTTTAATTGAACATGTGTATATATCATTTTCAACGTGGTGTTTTTTACAAGATTATACCATCCCATCCATTCGTGTAAGAGTCAAGAATTAAAGATATTATCTTTAATCTATTCCCGCTAATTAACTAATTAACTAGATAGGGTATTCTTATAATTACTAATTAGTTATCATTAAAAACTAGTTTTTCATTCATTAATGGAAAAAATATTTAATTCTTTAAAAACTAGTTTTTTTTTTTAAATTAGTAAAAAAAATTTTTCTAAATTCAAAATCAATAAATATGAAAAAGGTTCAAATTTTTTTAAAAAAATGAAATCTTTTCTATTCATAGTTTTATTCAAAAGAATTTCTTTACATATATATGCAGAAATTAAAAAAAAATCTTTGATCTACCGGTCTGTTAGAAGTTACACGAACAATCAGTTCACCACCGTTACGAACTATAATAATGATTATGATAATAATAATAATAATAATAATAATAATTAATAATAATACTAATACTAATAATAATAATATTATTAATATGTACGCCAAAATAAAAATTATTCCTATTCTCCCAATTCATAATCACGCTATTTTCCCGATTTATCTATCACTAACTATTAAAATTATATAGTATATGCTATTTGTATTAATGGAGCACGGTTGCAACGGAGCGAGCTAAAAATTGCAGGGATTCAAAGTTTGTTGAGTGACGATTGTACTACCACCATAATCATTAACTTTACAAAATTATCCAAGCATTTGGACATGAAAGGTAGGATTCATTATCTTTTACTGTTGCATCTTCAATAGTTTTTTTTTTTTTTTTTTTGCAAGATCAAATAAACTCCAAAGCAAAAAAAACTAAATGATTTTTCAATGAGGCAAAATACTTTTAAATATATTATTCAATAATTTTGTGGATCTTAGAAAACACAATACGAAACACAGGAGCAAGTGTTCACTGGTGAGTAATGTGCAATTTTGTTACTTTATTAAATTTATTGATTTGCCAACTACTTTTATTTGTATTACTCAAAGTATTGGTAAAAAGAATCTGAAAAATTAAAAAAAATTTCTTAAATTATTGTTATTTGAGCCATATAATCATTTATAAATCAATAAAGTTTGAAAGAACTTATCGTTGAAATTTTAGTATATCTCAAACACCAGCCAGCCCTTGTTAAATTTTTCAAAAAGTGAAATGAACAGTTGTACCCAGATAAATCCCGGACCTCCATATATGCCTGTACGTGTTGCAAAGTACTTGTGACCAATTGACAACAGGTTTCATCGTGTGAGTCTCAGTATCATTAAATTTCAACTGTAAGAATCATAAAAAAACCAAATTTGACGTTAAACATGCAGTAAATATTTGTAAAATGCACCTTTTTAGCTAAATAAAGGGCAAATTTTTGATATTTTAAAACATTTAATTGAATTTATTTTTTTATCATGAATATAACCATTATTGGATTGTTAATGAGTTAGATGCAGGAACGTTACTTATCTGAGCTTGCTCAAGGACCTCTTTTGTGGGATAATTTACAAATTTAAAACGAGTAATATTTTCTTCACTAAACATTGGTAGCTTTAATTCTTTATTGTAAGAACCGTTTTTCGACTATATATCAGAAAACTCACTAGTTGAATATATAGATTTATTTTAAGAGCTTTCTCTTTTCTATCTTTCTAGAGCGATGCTGAACTTTGAAATAGGTCTAGGCGAGCATCTTCTTTAGACCTTGCATTTTATTGCGTTTTCCAACACCAAAACCATATGATCTATTAAATCCAATACCAGATGTGGCTTCTGTATTAATAGTCGCCAGGAAAATTAGTAGCAAATATTATGCGTATACTTTACACAATTACAGGGGTTTAACATATAATAATAATAAGCATATAGTTAATGTATTACATAGAATAACATAGCAACAATAGAATTTGTTTTATTCGAAAAATATTTCGATGTGTTAAGAGATATATCGTAGAATACCTTAATATGGATACAAAAGTAGTTAGGCTTCTAGTACAATCTGTTAATCCAGACATGCTGGAAATGTATAACTCGAGGTTTATTTTTTCAATTAAACGATCAGTAAAGTAAAAAAATAATCAATTGACCAGCAAAAGATTTAAGAAAAGGCCCAAATGCCGGCGGGCTGAGGCAAAACAAACCAAATTAAGCCAAACAATCAAGTCAAAGCCAAAGTGAAAAAAGAATGAACCTAGCGTGAGTGAATTTATGATTAGTGATAGTAATTACCCAAAGCACACTTTTTGAACTTCCAAGATTTTAATAATGCTATTTATTTTTTACCTGTTTATAAGCGTTATACGTGACATGTTATTATCTCTAATTTTATCACCATGTAAATTGCCCTCAATTCTTTTTACCACGGTAAATAACCCATTACTAATACTAATCATAACTGATCAAAATCTTTAGACCCCTGAAAATTTAAATAACGTAATTATAATGTTCGTTTTATTAAAGCTTTGTTATTATAGCGCGCTTCATAAAATCTGATTGGTTCACTTCAACAAGTAAGCAAGTTGCATTTATATTCTGTAACTACATCAAAAAAAATATTACTATTGTATATAGGCTCAATAATCAAATAAAATAGAACAAAGAACTTTTGGCAGTCTTATTATATGAGAAGATCCAAGGAGCAGCCTAAAAAAGAACTTTTTTAAATTTTAATAATGGGAGGAAAAAAAGTTAAAATTAGCCAATTCTAAAAAATAAACATTTCACCGCCAAATCTTTTTTACAGAACCCTTTTTTCAATATTATTTAGCCAAAATCATCTCATACAGTTCTTCATTAGTCTTAATTCTCCGAAATTTTCCGTGCATTTATTTTAATGGTGAAATTCTTTTTTTAGCAACAAAAATTTAAATGAAAAGACAACTAGACGTCTTTGATAGCTCCCTAATTAGGATACATTAAGATCCAGCTTTTTCACCATTCATTATCGTCGTGTAACCTCCTTCTATACCAATGGCGTATAAATTCAAAGAAATATCAATGGGATCAAATAGACCTTTTTAAATCTAAATTTTATCATCAATAACAGAAAATAAAGAACATGAAAATGAAAATTTTACGGAAAGATATCATTTTAACTTAAATAGCGTTATTTATAAACAGGAAAACCAATCAAATGCTAGAATTGTAAATCTACAAGATATTCTGTGAAAAATGCATCGAGTTACATATTGATAAAATAAAATTGTTTGATTAATTAATTCAAATTGTCAAAAGTTCACATCTCTTCCAAGACAGATTATGGAATGGATACAATTTGAATATTTAACAAATGGTAGGTTTGATTCATTCATACTGCCAAATGGAAAACAGAGTATATATACTCGATTATAAAACAAATTTATTTATTATGAACATCAAAGGTAGCATTGAAATGTTAAATAATTCAAATGAGCTAGAAGAAAAGTTTTTTGATTATATTAATTCTAGGCATCGAATTATTAAATTCCCTGAAAATGATAATACACAATGGTCATACATTATGAAGAAATTTAAGAGAATCAAAATGTTTAGATGTACAAGGATAACTGCTGCAATTAGGTTGTAACTGCTACTTTATATGACGCAACTATGGTTGCAATCATGATAAGTGGCAGTTGGTATCCTAATATCATACACATAAAAAAGTTTTTTTTTGCATAGCAGTAATATACCAGTACGAACAGACAATTGCTATGTCACAGATCTGGGTTTATGTAAACCAGTTGATGATGAATTATTATCAAATAAAATATATCAGTGCACCAGAAATTCTCTGAGAAAGTAAACATATCAAAGAATCAGTTATTCATAGTGTATTGGAATGTTGATGTGTTAAATATTTGCGGGTCATCCACCATTTGTCAATATAGCTCACGATCACATTTAATTTTGGATGTTATGAATGATGGAAATGTGTTGGGATAGTGACCCTTCTAAAAGACCAACTATCAAAGAACTTTATAAGCTTGAAGATTTAAATAGTGAAGCTATTACAAACAATCCTTATAATAATAATTTTAATTCTCAATCAAGACTAACATCACATCCATTGGCATATTGCAGAAGCAGAATATTAAATGACAATATTGGAAATATAAACGATATTACTAGGGCCAGACGAATCCTACAGCATATCATATTTAAACTAATATTGCTCTTATTAATCATTTATCTCCTTACATTTTATTTTTTTTCCAAGATTAATTAATACATATGTCTATCTATTTTCTTTAAATAAAAAATTCTTATACATTATAAATAATTATTTTTATTTTATTTATTATGTCGTAAAGTGATAGATAAGGATTTCAATTATTTTTTTTTGTTCATTGATAATTTAACTACCAAGAGGCCCCCATGCACCAAAGATATCCATACTCATTGGCTCTTTAGCTCTACGTATCTGACGAACCATGTCGCCTAACTCCTCTTCCAAAAATTCAATTTCTTCCTTACGTTCTTCTTCTGTTACTTCGATTAATTCAGCTTGTCTTTGTTCATACAATAATTCACAATTCACTAATATGAATTTATTACAATAATTATAAAGTTGCCCAGCTGAATATATTTTTGCCCATCCTTTCAATTCAATCACATTCTGTGGCAATACAAGTCCACCATTTATAATCTCATATTCAACTTCATATTTAAGTTCTTTTATTAAATATTTTTCTGAACAATTAAGTAGATCAATGTATAATTTTAATAGATTTGATGTTGAGTCTTTATTAGACTTATTATTATTGCTGTTGTTGTTGTTGCTAGTATTTTTACGTTGACCATTTTTATTATTGTTACGCTTACTATTTTTATTATTTCTATTTTTATTCCTCTTTTTGGTTGTCATTACAAGGATTACAGCTTCAGATAGTGATTTACCATATAACCATTCAAGAAGCACTAGGAATGAATTAGGATCTACATCATCCACATTAACATGAACAATTTCGTCAGGATTTGATTCTTTAGTGCCTGCAAGAAACATCACTTCAAAATAATTTGAAGAAGCTGCCAACATGTAACGATTAGCTCCTATCTTCTTACTACGTACATTAAAATAAATATCATTAGGCCATTTCATGTTGGTTTGTTCATTATAATTTATAAAAAATTTAGAAACACCATTTTCTTGTTCTTTCAAAAACCTGTCCAATGAAGCAGTGATCCGTTCTTTCTGAGAACGAGGTATCAATTTGATGTTTACAGGTATGTTTTTCATCTCTGACGCTCCTGAAAGCAACAGCAATCTTTTAAAACGAGACAATTTAGGACTTACTGCCCTTTTATCCAAACTGATATCTTCACTTATATTTAAGACAAGATTTTTTGCACACATCCAATTCTCTTGTATAAAAGGATCAGCCCCGTTCAAAAATATGTATGCGTTTTCTTTTAGTTTTTTATGTAAATATTCACGATAGTTCATCATATCCAAATACTCGTAGATTTCAAATATAACCTTTTTTAACTTTTTTGTCGCTTTAATTGATTTCCACTGTACCGAGCTAGCTTTGATGATAGTATCAATTATTTCATATAGATGATTTAATACCATATGAAATTCAATATTTCTTAATGATGGAAATCTGGTTAGAAAGGAATGCTTTGGTATAACATTGTACGAGTATATAGGCGCCTGTGTCCATATGAGGTTTTTGTAAATTGGTAAATGAAGAGATTTAAAAGAGTAAAGTAGATTTTGTTCATATATTACATGATCGTAAGGTGCTTTTGGATGTTCACAAGGTATAAAGTTGATTGATGATAATTCTTCCCATTGACTATCAGATAGCCAAAGTTCTTCAAAATGCTCATATAAATAATCCACTGTTTTCCTTGCTCTATATATCAAATTTTCTGGTGGTTTGTCATTTTTTGATAATTCTTCAATTTTCTGTGCACATTTGATAAAGTCATCTCCAGTTACTTCAAAGCTCGCCCCTAGCTTTTTTACAGGTGTGTTGGTAAACCTTTTTTTTTTTTTTTTTTAGCAATAAAAATATCTTCTGATACAAGTCTAAATAATGGATTTGTTCTATCGAATGATTCTCGAGGACGTTTCAAGCTTTTTTTTTTTTGGTTAAGAATCATCATAATGTTAAAAAAAACAGAAATCAAAATAGTAATGATTATCAATTAATATATATGGTGATGGTTAAAATAATTTCGAGTATAAATACTTACGCATGCTACGATATCATCTAGTTTTAATTGTTCCAATTCTGAAACCGTTAAACGATTTTTACCTTGAATCGACAAAACTACATAATTCAATCCTTTAAAGATAAAAAACGGGATATTGGTATTAATAATAATAATATTTGTAATTTTAATTCAGTAAATCAATCACGGTTCTCTAGGATCTTCCAAAGAACATGCACCCAAATATTTAATCAAATTAATCATTAATTTTATTATTGCCTTGTTGTAAATTTTAATAAACTTGAAATCTTGGTTAACGATTTAGCAGCTAGAGTAATATTAGAAATCAATTCTTTATATAAATTAGATCTGATACTAACAATTTTCATTGGCCCTTCCATAGAAAATGAGCTTTTATATAAATTAAATCAAGACGACTTAAGTAAAAGAAAGTGTGTTCGTTTTTGGGTTAATAGAGAAAGCGAGGTATAATAATTACACCTGTTAAATCTTTAATCCTTGAAACAAAAAGTTCTGTATTCCAAGTTTACCTATTGCAATATCTCTCACTCCACAAAAAAAGAGATCACATTTGATATCATAATATTAAAATCTTTTGATGTAATTCTATTTTTGAAACTTGCTTGAACTTTCCAGACTATTTATTATCTGCATCCCCGTAATTCCTCATATCAAAAATTTAAATCAGATAGTTTTGCCCTATTGATAGGGGCGTAGTGGTGTTTATAATTTCACCAGGAAAACTTTCCTGGCGCAATTATTAAGATCCAGTGTCCCCATTCAAATATCAAGAGCCGAAATGATATTTGAATATCACATATTCGAAATTAGTGTCATATATCTCGAATATCCATCCGTAGTACTTTTAGATGTCTGTAACAATAGTAACACTTTTGAATATTTGTTAATTCATCAATTGTTAAATTGATTCAAATTCTTAAAAAAAAAATGTCTTCAAAAGTTAAAGGGATGTTATGTTAATCCATTAACATGGTGGAAAGAAAATAAGAAAGATTTCTCTCCATTAGCAAAATTAGAAAATATCCGCAGCGTCAGTTCCTGGAGAACGGTTATTACTAATTGGTGATGCTGGGAACCACATTGCACCAAAATATAAATAAGTAGAAAGGTTATTATTTTTAAAGAGTAACATAAAAAAAATATTTTTGAATAGAATTTATCCAAGAAAGTATTACAGATAAGATATTTGAATATAAGATAGATATTCTGGCGCATGAATTTTTCTCTTGAATTCCATGAGATATTGTTCCGAATAAACTGGATGTTTAATATAACTATTCTCTAAAGCTCGATATTCTCTGATGTTGTGTGGAGCTCTACAATTTTATGATAATAAATAAAGTAAATTGATGGATTTGAGATAAAGATGAAAGTAATGATTAATTAAATTAATTACGAATGTGGATAAATATAATTAACATTTTTCTAAAAAAAGCCAATTTTTTTAAAAGTACAAGCAACAAGAGGTTGCTTAATATTTGCTAATTCTCCTTCAGGAAACAAAAAATTTTATTTTTATTACTATTATTTTAACTCATTTTTTTTAAAAGATATCGAAAAGATGTTAAAAATATTTTTTCTACAATTAAAAAGATCGTAATGTACATTGGAAACATTATATAGAGATAAACCAATCGATATAAACAAGGTCCTTCTTTGAAAGATCCTTTAAAATAAACACATGCATACACATGTAATATTTGATTAGAAAAATAAATATTGTTTAAAAAACTTATAATTCTTGCCTACCTTCTATTCCAAATACGCCAACAACTATTGGACGAACAATTTTAACAGTTGTGGATCCCGTAATTGCAAAAATAAAAATTCTTATAATTGAGTTTATCCACCAAAGCCAGCTCCAACGTTCAAACTTATTATTTTCCAAAACAATTTTATTATTATTATCCACATTTATAAAAACATCATTATTATCATCATTTTCCTCATTATGTTCGTAAGATAAGAATGGAGAAGTTACATCTGAGGTTTGTGTTGTAGTTTGATTCATTATTAAGCATTTTATAATTTTTCTCAAAAAAAAAAAAAATCTGAACTCAATGCATTCAAGTACAAATTTGGAATTTATCTGGAGAATTCGCAAATCATCTAAAGACATCCTGTGCTGCGCCATTTTCCGAAAATTTTTATCTCGATCTTGCTTTATAAAAAGCTCTATAAATCCAAATTGTAAAAGATCTACGCTTTTGTCACGCGAGTATTTATTAATTCTGTGCGTTTGATTATTACCAGAGTTGGCAAATTAACACCCCAAGCCAATGTACTTGTAGCAACTAACACCCGAATCTTTTTATGAAGAAAAATTTCCTCAACAATTTTTCTGTCACTTTCAGTTAAACCAGCATGATTTGACCTACACCAAACTCAAGTGACATTTTTAAATTTTTATCATTAACTTATAACATAATTGCTTGTATTTCTTTCTTCAGGCATTCTTAAAAAATGATTCAGATCTTGCACAGTTAATTGAGTCTGATGATCTGGCAAAGCAAATACTATAACAGGTTTGGACAAACTTGATGGCTGAAATTAAAAAGCCCTTCTTCTTTGATTTCTAACCAATCGGCTAGTGGTATAATGACCTCTAATATAGGACCATAGCTCCACCAAGGAGATGAATTTCATCAATAATAATTAAAGATATATCCTGTACATAAATTTGATATTTCCAACTACAACTTATATTATCTCATTTTTCAGGAGTTGTGATTATTATATCTGACTTTTCAATAGTATGCAGATCTTGAGTAATATCTCCAGTTAATTCCACAAGTTGTCTCTTCATTGGTATGGTCAATCTATCCCTGCCAATTGTCAACACGTTCACAAACAAGTGCTTTTAATAGTGCTATGTAAACTACCTTAGAATTTGACATTTCATGAAATGCTCTCCTTTTGATAATCAAAAAATAAAAGATTTGGTCCTTTTTTTTTAAAAAAAACAAAAGACTTTCAATATAATAATAAGTAATAAATAATAGATAAAATATATAAATTTATCACATTGCGAGTTCAGCAGTAACTATTTCCAGTTGGTGCACCAATCAATACATTATTAGGTGTTGAACAATTCTACTTGCATTTTGAACAACAAAATGTGAATCAGATATCAAAAAAACTTTCAATTGGTATTCTTGACATATATGATCGTAGTAGAATATCAACTTTTCCAAGTGTTGAGTCAGGTGTTTGCTAAAATCCAAAAGAAAAAAAAAGTTAAAAGTTTTTGATCTTTAATAACCAATAAATTTTATGAAAAGTATATCAATACACACCTTTATTTGATGAGGCAAGCCACTTAAAAGTAATTTATCTAATTCTGAGCTTCTTCTTCTCTTGATTTCAAATCTTTAAATTTGCTACTTTCACATACATCTACCATACCTGTATAACCTTGTGAAATAGCAAACTCACGAAACAATTATGCAGTTTTCATTGTGTCATTTCGAGAATGAACAAAAACTATTACTTGATGCCCTTCTTTTACAGTATATTAAATATAGTATTTTATTTTATTTTATTTTATTTTTCAAATAAATATACTAAGCATGTATGTATACCTTACTCCAACGAACTTTATTAAGATTATCATTGGAAATGGTTGTTCCAGATTTTCATTTAGCATCAATAAAATGTTGTCCTAATGATGCCAACCTAAACTCACCATCAAAATAAAATAGTCCTTTTGTACCATTATTTAGATCCACTCTAATAAAATTACAAAAATCAAGGATTATTATACACTCCATAATATTAAAATTGAAATTATCAATATATATTGATGATTAAATTAAACAGTTTGTACCTTAAAAATTTTGCAACATCAACATAATTCAGCAAAGACCTATTATTTGAATTATTGATTGACTAGACTTGATCTTTAAAATAAAAAAAAATTATTTAATATTTATTTGATTGTTGGTTAAAAAACCTTATACAATAAAATTAATTTCAATTAAAGGCAACACATACTTGATGACAAGTATGAGCAACTAAACATTCAAGAACAGCATCTTGATAGTCATGCAATAAATGGACTTCATCAGTAAATTTTCATTGTATTTAGAATAATTAAAAATAAATAAATAAATAAATATATACCTGGATAATTCAACATCTCAGTGCCTTTGCTTGTCACTACATCCCATTTTTCAGGTGTAGTAACAATTATTTATATATTGATGATCTCTGATCTAGTTAATTTCATATCGCCTATACAATTTATAGAAACAAAAAACACAATTAAATAATTGTTGATTTGAATAATGCAATGTAATTAAAGACAGTTTCAAACAAAAAAAACCTGTAAATTCTTTAACTTGGATGCCTAACCATGCCAAACAACTACTAAATTTTTTACAATTTCTGCTGCCAATGCTTCATTATAGCAATATAAACAATTTTAAAATCTAATTTTGAAATATCGAACATTTGTGGTTCAGGTGACATTGAAGGAATCATGAATAGTACATTGTTAATATAGCAATGTTGGTTTTTCCCTATTTTAATTAAGCAATCATTTATTTTAAAAATTAATCTCACCAAATAGATATATAAAAAAAAACAAAAAATTTTTTAAAGAAATATATTACAATGCTTGTGGGAGCACAATTTAGTTTTCTTATATGCAACCAGATAACCCTATATAAAAAATGAACATTATTATTAGTTAGCTGCCATTTAATATCATATGTACATACACATAAGTATAAATAAATATTAATATTACTACCCGATTTCATCCAATTCTATCAAATTTACTTATTTAGCAAGGCTCCGAAATATTAATTAATTAACCTGGTGTTTTTCACTTAGTCAAAGGTGACTTATTTTTATAATGATAAGAATTAAATTAAATAAAACGTCCTATCAGAAAGTTCGGCCAATCTTATTGCTTCCTTGTGACCTAACCACTTTTCTTCCTCACAATATCCAATATGTATTTTTTTATATTTAAAGAACATCATTTTAAGGTAATAAAATAAATAAAACAACAACTTGAGTTTTTACAATAATTAAAGTGCCTGTTCATAGAAACCATGTCTTATTTTAAGTAAAATCGCTCACGAAGACAATATCTTTCGTTGAAAAAATTGAAAATTTTCAAAATATTATGCTAGTACTTGGATTTTACAAAATGAAATCTGTGAATTTGCAATTCACGTTCAAATTAGCCAATCAGAATTTCATATTCAAACACCAAATTTTAATTATAAACTTCAATTTCGTCACGCGTAATTAATTTTCGTCGTTCGTAATAAATATCGTCACACGTAATTTATTACATATTACGTTTTTGGCAAAACAATTACCGTCCCATGTGTAGTATTAATCAATTGATTGAGAGACTTTGGTCTTTAGTGAGTGAACTTATCCAGAGTGTTATTGAGGAAGTTAAATAAAAGATTGATGATGCTGAAAATCTAATTCTCTAGGAAAATGAGCAATATTAGACAGGAGATATTTAGAATCTTATACCAGAAGATCTTGCATACAAAGAACCTTAACATTATATTAGGAGAAAGTCACATTTTCAATATCCCTCATAAATCTTTCATTTTGTTGCAAATTAAATGATTATTATGATATAATAATAAAGATAAGATTTTTAAATTTCAGTCAAAGAATTTATATGATGTCTTCATTCAATTACTGACTTTGAATACGGGATTGAGATTTCCTTTCTGGAATCATTAGATTAATCCAGTTTTAAGTTGTAAAGATAATTTTTTTAATGTGATTTTGAGCTTCGACTAATTGAGCTAGACCATCACTATATATATAGTTGTAATTGTTATTATAATATATTCTTAAAATATTTAATCTATGAAGATTTTGGAAACAAGTGTCAAGTTAGCTGTTGAGATTAGTTATAAATATCTTGATAGTTGAATAATCTAAAATGAATTTTATTGATCTTTCTCCAAAAGCATTAAATTAATCATTATCATAGATATCTTCCACCAATTTTTATTATAGTAATAAATTTTACATAGTTGTGTAGAGGTGGTTTCTTCGATAATTTAAATTTTAATTCAATATTATTTTTAAATTATAGTAAACAATTTATTATTACTATTATTTTGGCAGTAAAAGGAATTTTCCATATTGCTGGAATGCTTAAGTTATGCCATTGTTATTAACCAAAACACAAGAATAATGTGTTTTGTAATCATCCTCAATATATTTGAACATTTGAATTAATAGTTCAAGTTTTTAGAAATATTTGTGAAATTAGCCAATCAAATATGGAAGTGTTTGGCTAATTTTAATAGACTATTTTTTGGAATTTGTCATAGAAATCAGCTATATAAATTTTATTAAATTATATAAAAACAAAGGTAAAAATAAAATAAAAATATATCTAGTCTACAGTCTTATAAAGTTTTTAGCAAAAGTGGAATTTGTGACATTGAGAATCTTTATCATCTGTCAATAAAAAAAAAAAAGGATTATTCATAATATTTTGGGAAAAATAATTTTTTGTAGCACAATAAAAATTGATTAAAATATATATATATAAGTTAATTATGTTATCTTATTAAAAAAAAATAAGGAAATAAATCATCTTTTGAAAATAAACCAAAATACAATGATGCTTGTAAAATGATACATAGTCTGAGATTGATTAATTTTTAATTACATAAAAACTCAGTTAGAAAACTCTCTTAGATATTCTTCATTGCCATATTTTACTAGTCTCGATAACTTGTTCACATCAACATATTGATTTAGTGTGGTAGAATAATAGTAATCTGGACAAATCATGTTGGTGATGGTGATGGTTGTTCTATTCATTAAATGACTTGTATTGTAACTAGTATTGCTTGTTGTAGTAGCAGTATTATTGTTGTAGTTGTAGTAATTGTTGCTGCCATAGAACCTATGATATTCTTGATTGCAGTAATCCAATAGAATTGAAAATTCTGTATTTTCAGTTCTAAGGTTGCCATCACTGTTACCATAGATCCTTTGATATTCTTGGCTACAATAATGTGCTAAAAATGAGAATGTAGAATCTTCAATTTCAACACTTAAATTGTTAATGTCGTTGCAATTATTATAATAATAATAAATACTATTATTAATATTAATACTGTTATTAATATTATTACTATCATCTATACTATTATTATTATTACTACTATTAATATTTTTAACAATATTTATGTTGTTGTTAATGTTTTTATTGATATCATCATCATTATTACTATTATTATTGTTATTATTATTGTTATTATTATTGTTACTATCAATGTTATTATTGCTGCTATTAATTTCATTATTGTCATTGTCATCATAATTATTACTACTATTACTACTATTGCTATTATCATTATTATTGCTGCTTGTAGTGGATTTCTTTGATTTATTAATGATATGTGGTGGCCTATGTACACCATGCCTTTTATAATAAAGACCACAAGCATTACAATAAATGAAGTCAGGCATTTCCTTTATTTTTTGCCAAATTGGTGTTTCATTAACGCCGCAATTATAACATTCATGACCAGTTTTTAATTTCCTTTTTGTCATTGTTGTTGTCGTAGTTGTTGCCATGGTTGTAATTATTGAAGAAGAGCGAGAAGTAGAGTATGGTTCTGATTGTTTTCTTCTATTACATTTCTTGCTTTTAGATATGGGTCGTGACGAGGGCAATGAATTGTTACGGGCTGTAAAAGAATCTTGATTTGGAGTTGGGTTAGATTCTGAATTTAGGTCTGAAGTTAGGTTTGAAGTTGAGCTAGAATTTGTGTTTGTAGTTATTCTTGAAATTGAGTTCAAGGCAGAGGAGTAAATTCTTAACCTAATAAAAGGTTTAGAAGAAGTTATGGTAGTAGCGGTTGTAATGGTGGTAGGTGGTGGAATTGGTGAATTAATCGATCCAACAATTGAAGTGGTTGAATTAGTTGATATTAATGAATCCATTATTTTTCAAATCAAAAGTTAGTTATCAATTAATTTATATACAATATATTTAATTTAATTGTTCAAAAATTCCAATAATACTGATTTCTGTAAATCAATTGAAAATTTGAGTTGTTGTTGTAGCACAATTGTATTATATGCTACAGCAAATCAATTAAAAAGATTCAACTTTAAAGAGTTTAACGAACTTGTTTAAGCGGTTGTTATTGAGAGAACATCAAAACAACAATATAAAAATTTGAAAAGTTGATTAATTTAATTTTATTGAATTATAAATTTTCAAGTTAATTATTATTATAAATATTAAATTCAAATGCAAATATCCAATTTCTTGATTCCTGACACTTTGCTATTGCGGCAATTGCTTTACATAATTAATTCTTTTGATGCTTTATAACTTCATGGTTTCAATTAGCTAATGATAAAAAAATTGAAAATTAAAGCAATTAACCTAATAAAGTAAAGATAGGTAGGATGGTGATTCCTATTTTAAAGCATCATCATTATAGCACAATATTTGTTATAAACTATGAATATCTTTGAAGTTTTGCTGAAAAACAAACCCCTAATTTTATCAAACGCCAATTCTGGCAATACATTTGATTACTACGTAAAAAAAACAAGTAAAAAATCTAACGTGTGTGAAAATCTCTTTAAATAAATAATTTTTTATTTTATTCAAGATCCTAATAAATAATCATCAAGTAAATACGTTTGAGAATTAAAGTGTAAATAGTATCAAAATAACTAAATGAAATTACTAACTAGTAACAAAATGAATATTTGTAAAAAACTCTGGTTGGTTTAATAGTGAAGGATATAAATGATGGAAAATTTTATTCCTTGAAATGTCTCCCAACAACATCTGCATCTGAAATTTCTCATATCGGAGGTTGCTTCCTTTTATTTGCTCTTCTGATGCGTCGCATACAAACATTGCTGCCACATTAGAATCACCTTCAGTTAACATTAATCACCGCCACCATTTTTTTTAACTATATATAATAGCTCGCAAAAATAATTGGCAATTTGCTTTTGATTTGTTATTATTCGGAATATTACTTTTTAATAAGTTAATAAATAAATTATACTTAATTAAAAACATTATAATTAAAAATAAAAAAGAAACAAAAAGCAACATGTAAAAAAAAAAATTTATTTACAAAGAGCTTTATTTTTTTGAGACGTGAAGTAATCAATTTCTTAATGTATAAATTATTGGGTTGATCACAGTGGTTGATCATTAAACATAGAAAATTACTACATAGCCCTAAGAATATTATTAAAGAGTACCTTGACAGGACCCCAAAAGCTTCTAATTAAGGTACCAAGCAAACCAAGGATAAAAAACATAGAAAAGTGAAAAATCCCACTGTTATTGATAGTTTGAGATCTTGCTGATAATAATTTATTTATTATTTTGGTCTTAGTGGTCTTAGTAAAATAAAAAAGAGAAAATTGGATTTATAAAAAAAAAGTTTTGGTCTGGTGTTTTACTAGGACCGGTTGAACCAGTATATGGGAATTGTTTATCTTTGCAGTGAAAAATTTATTTTGAGCCTCAAACATGGGACTAGTTTTAGAACTTTTTAATATTTGAGCCATGAAGGGGTGATACCTCAAGGGATTTGAAATTTTAATTTTGACATCACCTCTGACGATGACATTTGAATAATCAATAAACCCTCTAACATTTCTTCAAACGAAACCCGAGCGGATGTTTTTTATAATTATGTCAAAAGAGGACAATTTTAAAAGCCTCAGCAAAGCACAAGCGGGCAAATATCTGCCTGTGTTTGTATAATGGATTGTAATGTTATCAAATCAATCTTTTACAGTTTTTAACTCATTCCCTAGTTTCATCAGGATCTACTGCCATTCTTAATTTGCCCTCATCCATTCACTTCTTATTTAGTTTTTTGTATCATCATGTTCCCTTAGGAGCATAAAGGCTAACTTCATCCTTGTCATTAAGAGACTGACTAGTAATGTGTCAGATTTTTACTTTAAGGTTTTCTTCTTTATCTGCAAATTGCTTTTTTTTAAGTTTTGTTTTCTTCAATTAATACTTTATTTGCTTGTTGTTGTTCTTTTAGGATATTTGCCATGATATTATTTATTTATTCTTTTAATATATACTTATATCCTTTCTATGAGGGTGTACACAGTGTATCTCGATTTAGCAGATTTAAGGGTTTAACAGATAAATTTTCAAAACCAAATCTTTCTATAGTTATTTTATCTCAATTTAATGGATTTAATGGATTTTTCATATATGGTGCATGCTGTAACAAAACCAGACAAAGTGAATATTGGTATTACCAAGAATTTCAGGGATCAAAATTTAGTCATTATCAGCATAATTGTTATGTGATCAGTTTTTCATTTGTTATTTTCTCTGTTTCCTTAAACCACTCCTACATAAAATTAGAGTAACGAATGTGAATTATAATTTACCACCACCACTATTATCTATTTAATTAATTAATTAACACAAGAAAATAATAAACCATTTGCCATGATCTCCTGTAAGTTGTGCCATTTTTTTGTTCTTTGCGACAAAGAAGATGCAACCCAAACCCAACTGTGTTTGTGTAATAGATGAAAAGCAAAAGCTCACATTGCGTTCTTGGTTGTAAGCTTGTTTACTAATAAAAAAAAATATATTTTGTCATTAATATGCAGTTTGGTTCCGATTTTTATTGTTAATTGAATACAAATAAACTTTTCATTATAAAAGCTGAACACAGACTTTTAATCCATTTTTAACTTAACATTGATTAGAATGGTGGTAGTGGTTGCATGAAATAAAAAAAACATTTTTTTTTTATAAAAGCAAAGAACGAATAAAAAATATAATGATAAATACCAAAAGATGAAAAAAATTGCATTCTCACAATATGGAAAGGTGCTGAGATTGAAAAAAGGAATACTGTTATTATTCATGTAGTGTTTTACAAGCCACAGTCCCTGTTGCTTTAGATTCAGTGAACTTAGTTAAAATAAGGAGATTGGTGAAAATATATGAATCTATGTGAATTACTGGAAAATTAATAGAATACGCAACAAAGAAGTATAAATCTCATAGGAGAATTATTCCTTATGTATAATTTTAATTAAAATTTCCAAAGTCACTTGTGATCGAAACTTTAAATTTTGGAACACACCATATTATATTTTACCGTAAATGTTTCCAAATTAATCTTTATTTTTTTATTTAAATAATCATGAATTGCTTTAATAAAAAAAACATTTATTTTTATTATTACCTTTTGTGAAACAATTAACAGTAAGGTGGGCTGCAACTTTTGATGATGGTTGCTACCACCTTTGCGTCATATAAATATGATTGAAACCGCCTTTACAACCATTTTGTTTCGTTTTTGGGTTGCAACATGGAACACTAGAGATGGCTGCTCAAATAGAAACAGAACTAGCTGGTCACTATGAAAGAAGAATTAATTTATACAGTTCTAGAACTGGAAGGGTGAAATCTAGGATCAATTTGTTGTTTTTGTCCTGGCTTGAATGTGTCTGTTTACCAAATCCGAACTCGTAATAAGGTAACCTATAGCATAGTTGAAAATGATTATGCATGTGGAAACTGCAAGGAAAAATTTGAAAATGATGAATTGTCCAAGTGTGAAGATTGTGGAAGACTAAAAAACTCAATTAAACATTAATGCTCTTAGTGGTAAATATATTGCTTTAGAAATAATGAATCAAAAGAAAAATCGCTTCCTGTTCTGTCACATGAGGAAAGGGCTTCTACTAGATACGAAAGACAAATAAATTCTTTACAAGAGAAATTAAATGAAGCAGAATGAACTATCCATGAAGAACAAGAAGCCCATGAGGATTTCATGAAAACCTCTGAGGAGTGAAATAAAAGACGGAAACAAGAGCTTTTGGATAGAATAAAGGAGTTAGAAACGGAAATTGAAAAACTAAAAGGTTTAACCAATCAAGAATTAATAAAAGAGATCAATGAGTTAAAAATTCAGCTAGCACAATTACAACAACAGAATGGTCAATTAACTGCTCAAATTGAAGTCAAAGAGACTAACTAAAAGATGATCTTGATTGAAAATAAAAAAGTAATTTAAAAAGAATTGAGGAAATGCTTTCCTCTTATAAATTGAAACTTATTCCAACTATCAAAGAAAATGATAGTTATTTTTTTTTTAAAGATTTTTGCTTTTTATTAGGTAATAATGCATCATGATGATGCTTTCTTTTTTTAACATTTATTATTTTTCTTTCTTCTTGGTAAATTTCATAAGTAATCCTTTCTTTCCTTAGATAAGCTTCCAGTGTTTGAGTGTCATTTATTTTGAAAATGTAAGGAGCAATTTTTTTACCTTGCTCCTTTTTCAAAATACTTCTAATGGTGCTGCAATTCTTTGGTTCCATGGTAGACCTAATGTAAATTAGCTTCATAGTGTTATTTTTATATATGGACAATTCTATATATCACTTAACAAATGACTAAATTTTGATCCCTGAAATTCTTGGTTCACTTGGTCTGGTTTTGTTGCAGTATGCCCCAAATTATCAACTAATAGTCTACTAAATAGTCTACTAAAGAAATTTTGAGCAACTAGTAGTCGACTAAGGATTTTTTTGGGCGATTCCAACCTCTAGGTCTTTCTAGTATCATCACAACGGATTCACGTGACATAAATTTATGAAATTTTACCAAAAATGGATACACAGTGAAACTCGATTTAACGGATAAGTTTGGCCCAAGAAATTTATCCGTTATATCGAAATATCCGTAAAAACGAGAAATTTGGAATTAGCGGATTTTATAATGAAAATCATGTGACATCAGTTAAATTTAAAAAAAATTAAC